ACTACTACTACTACTACTACTACTACTACTGCTACTACTACTACTACTACTACTACTACTACTACTACTACTACTACTACTACTACTACTACGACTACTACGACTACGACTACGACTACGACTACGACTACGACTACGACTACGACTACGACTACGACTACGACCAGACTACGAGCACGACTACGACTACGACTACGACTAGGAAGAGGAGGAGGAGGAGGAGGCAGAGCGGGAGGAGGATGAGGAGGAGGAGGAGGAGAAGGAGGAGAAACATGAGGAGGAGGAAGAGGAGGAGCATGAAGAGCACGAGGAGGAATATGAGGAGGAGGAGGAGAAGGAGGAGAAGCAGGAGATGGAGGAGAAGAAGGAGGTGGAGGAAAAGGAGGAGGAGGAGAAGGAGGAGAAGGAGGAGGAAGAGGCGGAGTTGGAGTAGGAGGAGAAGGAGGAGGAGCAGGAGGACGAGAGGAGACCGGCGGTCCACAAGTCAGCCCTATGCAGCTACTTACAGCGCTGGGATCCGCGCTCACGACCAAAACCCTGGGCCTGTCCTGCATCCCCCGAGACGACGGCGACGACGACGACGACGCCGACGACCCACTGGCCCGCCCGCACGGCGCGAGGACGCGACCGAGCAGCTGGAGCGCGAGCTACACCTGCACATGGCCCTTCGTCCTCGCCGCCGCCGTGTTCGCCGTGTTCGCCGCCGTCGTCGGCGGTCGCCGTCGTCGGCGCCGTCGTCGTCCTCGCCGCCGCCGTCGTCGTCGTCGTCGTCGGCGGCGGCCCTCGGCGGCCCTCGGCGGCCGTCGGTGGCCCTGGGCGGCCCCTGGCCCTTGGCGGCCTCGTCGTCGCAGCCGTCGGCCGGTCTGTCGCGTCGTCGTCTTGGGCCGTCGGGCCCCGACATGCGGGCGCTGCAACGTTTTCACACCTGGCCTTGTCTTGCCCGCTGTGGGGCCCTGGGGCCATCACGGATCGATCCGGCATGAAGCGCAAGTCGGGTTTCAGGGCCCGGCGGGGGCTCTGTCGAGCAGGGTCACTGCCCGCGTTGCGGCGTGCCCCTGTGTGGTGACCGCTGTGCAATTCTTACTTCTTTTTTGTTTCTTCACGCTGTTCTTGAATTCTCTCGCACTGTGGTGGCAGCCGCGTTGTGGGAGTTCTTGTGGCCGTGCTCTCCTCCTCCTCCTGCTCCTCCTCCTTCTCCTCCTCCTCTTCCTCGTCTTCGTCCTCCTCGTGCTCCTCCTCTTCCTTTCCTTCTTCTTCCTCCTCCTCCTCCTCCTCCTCATTATCAAACTTCGTCCTCCTCTTCCTCCTCAGTAAAATGACGATGGGGTCTAGGGCTCCGGTGGTGATTTTTCGCAGTGCTGCAGTTTTTCGCAACCCCGGATCTCAGGTGAGGTGGTCCTCGGCGGCCGCCGGCGGCCGTCGGCGGCCTCGTCGCCGTCGTCGGTCGTTCGGTCCGTCGGTCGTTTTGTCGTCGTCGATGTCGTCACCGCCGCCGCCGCCGCCGCCGCCGTCCGCCGCCGCCGCCGTCGTCGTCGTCGTCGTCGTCGTCGTCGTCGTCGTCGTCGTCGTCGTCGTCGTCGTCGTCGTCGTCGCCGTGTAAGCCGATCGAGGTTCAGGGATCGAGGAGGATCGATGATTCCATGGTCGAGGCTCTGCGGGGCCTCCGGGGCCTCGGGAGCCGCATGGAGACCTCTCGGGGCCTCTGGGGCCCTCCTTTTGAGGCCTCGGGAGACACTGCCGCCGGTCGTCGCCCCGGAGGCCCGCATCCAGCAGCTCTCCCGCGAGCTGGACACCAAGCGGCGGCGGCAGGCGGACGCCATCGGCCCGAGGGACGCGCAGGCCAGGGGAAGAGGAGGACCAAGCGCCGGCGGCAGCGACTCGGCGGCGGCGGCGGCAGCGACGTCGGCGACGTCGGCGGCGGCGGCGGCGGCAGCGACAGCGGCGGCGGCGTTGGCGGCGGCGTGCCGCTGCCTTCCTCTCCCAGGCGGCCCTGGAGGCCGAGCTCGCGCGCCAGGAGGAGATCAATCGCAAGGCACTCTCCGCCACCGCCGCAGTCGCCGTCGTCGCTGGCCCTGGCGGCCCCTCAGCGGCCGCTCGGCCGCCCTCGGCTGCCCTCAGCGGCCTCGTCGCCGTCGTCGCTGCCGACACCGGCGTCGTCTCTGTCGCCGTCGTCGCCGCCGTCGTCGGCGCCTTCAATCGCGGAGGTCGCCTCTGGAGGGAGTTGGACCCGTGTTTCTGGGCGAGGGCCGTGTTGATCCTGAACTTGGGTCCTCGTTATTCGTGTGACGCCTCCGCGTCCTCACCTCCCGCCTGCTTCTCTTTCCTTTCCGCTGCGTTGCTCGCCACACTCAGCCACTCACACGTCCGATCTCTCACGCTCAGGCTCACTCGCACGCAGACTTACCCACCCTCAAAGTCATTCACAGTCAGGCTCACTCGCACTCAGACGTACTCAGACTCACTCGCACGCTGGCACATCCACACCCAATCTGTCTCACACTCAGACTCGCTCAAACTCAGACTCTTTCATATCCAGACTCCTCACACCCATATGCGCTCATACTAAGTTTCGTCATATGCAGTATCACCCACACTCGCGCTCAGACCAGTCAGACCACTTGTGTTAAGATCCGCTCACACTCGGCCAAGATTGCCAGCGCTCGTAGTCACCCACATGTGACGTAGACCCACCAGCGCCAGGCCCACTCGTGCTCAAACCGCTCGAACCCTGAGTTTTTTTTTGGGCTGCGCTCAGGTCCACCGGGGTATAGCAGGCGCTGCACCTGGGTGCCACAAGGATGAAGGGGCCCAAGGACACGCAAATAAATACAAACACACACACACGCAAATAAACATATGCCCCATATTTTCCTATATCTTCTGGGTTTTTGTCTTCCCCCCCACTTCCCATATTTTCCTATATCTTCCTGGGACTCGACGATTAATTGTGTCTGTATGTTTTTTCCCCTCCTGAAAGGAGGAGCCGCCAGAGGAGGGGACACCTGCTCGCTCGCGACCAGACTGCGGGGAGGGTTCGTGCAAGGGTCGCCTGTGGGGCGCCTCAGGCTTCTCCCTTCTTGGGGTGCCTCTGCTCGCTGCGATGCAGCAGGCGTAGAGTGTAGGCTCAAGTCGGGCATGCCCCTCTACAGGAGGAATGCTCCATCACAGGAAAAAAAGTACTCGGGGGGACGATGTCTCGTGCTCTGTCGACTCGTCTGGAGTCGTTCCGGGCATTTTTTCGCCATGCCTTCCTCCAAACTCCGCCTGCAGGAGGACATGCCCGACCCAACCCTGGGCATCCTCGGGAGGAGCCGCCCGGGAGGGGGCAGCATCCTCAGGAAGAGCCCTCATCGCTTCGCCCGCCTGTCTCCTCGCGGAGCCCCCAGGATCTCCCGCGGGCGCCCCGAGCAGCGGGGGGCACCCCGAGGGGGAGCCGCCACGGGGGGGGCCCATGCCGCGTGCCCGCTCGCGGCTCCGGACAGGTTGGGGGCTCCTCGAGCGCAGCGCCGGCCTCCTCCTCCTCCTCCTCCTCCTCCTCCTCCTATCCTCCTCCTCCTCCTCCTCCTCCTCCTCCTCTCTCCTCCTCCTCTCCTCTCTCCTCCTATCCTCCTCCTCCTCCTATCCTCCTCCTGATCCTCCTCCTTCCATCATCGTCCTCGATAGTTTCCTCCTCACCTCCTCCTCCTCCTCCTCCTCCTCCTCCTCCTCCTCCTCATCATCATCATCATCATCATCATCATCATCATCATCATCATCATCATCATCATCATCATCATCATCATCATCATCATCATCATCTCGGGAGCCTCGAGACGGGGGTCAGTGCAAGCGGGGGTCAGCCAGAGCGCCCGATCTCCTGCAGGGCCAGGGTTGCACTGGCCCGGGCGTGGGTGCAGGATCCTGCAGGGTGTTGCAGGATCCTTCGCGCTGAGCCGGGTTTGGGTGCAGGATCTTGCAGCATCCTGCAAGGCCCGATTGATCCGGGTCTGGGTTGACCCGGGTTAGCAGATCCCCGAGTTGTCTCCCCTCAGAGCCACGTGGTCATCGCTGTGTGAGGCGTTCCAGAGATCAGGCGATCGCAAACATGGATCAATGTGGGCGCGGATTAGCGACGGCTCCCGTTTCTATGGGGAATCGCTGACTTCCGCCGCCGAACGAGGCGGCACCTGCCACATTTTGGGGAGGCGCCGAATCTATGGATCGCTAATCCATGCTTGCGCGCCCCCGAAGAGAGGGCCTTGCCTTCGAGGGCAGAGAGAGTTGTCATCTCTTCCTCGGCGGACGGGCGGCGGAAGTCAAACGAGGCCGCCTTCCGCCAGCGGAGGCTGACGGAAGGCTGGCGGAAGGCCGGCGGAAGTAAGCAAAGACGCCTCCAGGAGGCGAACACGTTTTTGGGTTCAGGGTTTCCGAAATCAGCCACGTAGCGGGCACATCAGATGGGCTTCCCCAGGGGAGCCGCAGGGGGGTGTTGCCCGGGTGTGTCGCGCCGGCGGTGGAGATTTCCTTGGGGAAACGCTGTTTTAGTCCCAGTATCATCGCGAGGCAGCAGGCATCGCATTTGGGCGCTCCAACGGGGAGCCGCCAGGCAGCGCTCAGTCGCCAAAGGCTGCCATCAGTTCTGATCAGACAATCACAGACTATTCTTTTCTTCTTATATTATGATTCCTTTTTATTTGCCCAGAGTGCCAGGAACTGGGATACCTGTATGGGGATCTCCGCGTTGAATGATTTGTTGCTGATGCTATTTCTTCTGGGCGAGGACTCGTTTTCACGTGCCTCCTCCTCCTCCTCCTCTTCCTCCTCCTCTTCCTCCTCCTCCTCCTCCTCCTCCTCCTCCTCCTCCTCCTCCTCCTCCCCCCTTCCTTTCCCCCTCGCAGGAAGATGAGGAGGAGAAGGGGGGGAGCAGTGATAGGAACAGGATGCGAGGGGAGGGCGATCTGGGTCTGCGGACGTTTCCTCTGACCTCCCTGGTTCTTCGAAGGCCTCCCTGGCGGCCCCCCACGGACCCCTGGAGGCTTCCGGGGCGCCTTCTGAGAGTAGTGCTCCAGAGGCTGTTCGCGGGAGCCTGCGTCTGCGACCAGTTGTGAGCCCTGCCCCTGCTGGTCCCACCGACGCTGGGGCATCGGACCCCTCCGCTGGGCTTCACACTTGGCAGGCATCCCTCGCATTCTGAGCCCCAGCTGGCGCTTCAGAAGTCTGACCTCCAGACATGCGCCGATGTGTTTGTTGAATCCGCAGCCCCATGAGCCCCAGGATGGCTGGACACGCCCCGACAAAGCGTCCCAGCGTCAAACGGACACCACGGGAAACCACGAAATGCGCTCCGAGGGCATCCTCTGCTTTTTGCTTTTCTTATCTGGCAGGTTACGCCCACTTGTCCTCCAAGGTCGGGATTCGTAGCAATATCAGGCTTCGAACAAGAGAGAGGGGGGGCAGCGAGGCACCGAAAGCTTTTTCGCAACTACGTGTGAGAGAGCTGCTGTTTGCTGCTGGTTAAGGGATCCAGCTCTGGGCGTTTGTGCATCCTCATGCCTAGCAAACTCCTGGGCCCAAATGGCCTGCGGAAGATGATAACAATGATATTCCATCCACCTACCCCAGCCCAACTCTGCATGCATTGGCGAGCATGTGCGCCACCGTCGGCAAACATCTGTAGTGCGATACCCTGATTTGCGGCACCCACCCTAGCGAGGTCGCGCCCACTTGTCCTCCAAGGTGGGTTCGTACCAGTATCAGGCTTCAGTCCGCAGCCCCGTGAGGTCCCGACCGCTTTCCCCGGGGGTCGTTCTGCGTCCCGGGCTCGGTCTTGAGGGTCCCCAGGGCCCAGACGCGGCCGGCGCCCCGAGCGCTGGGAGCGAGGAAGAACCGCAAGCTTTGAAGAACACAGATCTCCTCGGGGAGATGCCACATATCCTCCTCCTCCTCCTCCTCCTCCTCCTCCACCTCCTCCCTCCTCCTTCCTCCCTCTTCTTCCTCCTCATCCTCCTCCTCCTCCTCCTCCTCCTCCTCCACCTCCTTCCTCCCTCCTCTTCTTCTTCTTCCTCCTCCTCCTCCTCCTCCTCCTCCTACGCATGGTGCGAATGCCAATGATAACGGCCAATGATGGGGCTGCAGTCCAGACACTGGCATGAAGGTCCGCTTTGGATCTTGAGGGGTCCGCTGCTCCTCAGGTCACTCCGTGCGTGTTCCCCTAGCCCTCATCGTACACCCATGCTGCTTCGGTGCCGGCAAAAGGGCGTCCTTCCTTATTCCGCATTCCTTCCTGCAGCAGCCCGACTGCACGATGCCTCTTTTTGATTCTGAGTCGGCAGTGGTGCCCGCTCGTGCCCAACCCGTTCCGTCTGCAGGGACTTCACATCCCCCTGTGATGGTGGGACGGGAAGACGGGCCGCCGCCCCTGGCACAGCACGTACGGTGCCTGGTTCGCGGGGATTTGCCCCCGCGGCCCTTATAATGGAAGCTGCGGAGGGTGTGAGGCCTCACGGCGGTCTTCTCTGGTAAGGCTTCTGATGGTCCTCATCGGTGGGGGAGGGGGAATGACGATACCCGAAGCGGGCAGTGAGTGACAGAAGCCGAAACCACCGTGGCTTCAGTTTCTCCAAGCAGGGCAGGGCCTGCAGGGGCAGGGCTCGCACGTGGTTGTGCCCGCCGAGGGCGAGGGGGGAGGGGGGGGGCGGTGGCCGCAAAGGTGGCGTCGCTGAAGCAGGCCGAGGAGCTGCTCAGCGGCGCGCTCAGGCTCGAGGACGAGCGCACCAGGTCGCTGGAGGAGCTGCTCCCGAACGTGGAGGAGATCGGGCGCCACCCACGCGTACCGAGATTGCGTGGAGCGTTCCAGAAAGGGCCTCGCCTTCGAGGATGGGGAAGGATTCGGCATGTTCGTTTCTCGGCCGAAGGCCGGCGGAAGGCCGGCGGAGGGCGGCGGAAGTAGAGAGAGAGAGGCTGCCTCCGCCGGCGGAAGGGTGGCGGAGGGGTGGCGGGAGCGTGCGGAGGTAAGAGGTGCATCCCCAAGGGGTGGCAACGCTTTTGGGTGGTCCAGGGTTTCCAGAACCCGCCACGTGTGCGTCGCCCCCTCCCCCCCCCCCCCCCTAGGGGCAACGCGCGTGCCGAGAAATCTTAGAGTGCATGCTCCGTGGCGGGCGCTCTCTGGCCGTACCGCTCGGGAAACCATCTACTACCAGGTGGTTCTACTTGATGTTAGGGTCGGACGCACGCCTCCAAGGAGGACACATCGTACTAGTATGTCCTTGTGCGTCCCAGGAGACGCAGATGCGGGAGCATGTGGAGGACGAGGAGGAGCTGGGGACCCTGAGATCCCAGCGTTTCGATTCTGCTGAGCCAGACCGTTTCTCGCCAGGTTTCGGGCCCGGGGGCCAGCACGGATCGATCCGACTCGAAACATGGCGCAGAAAGATGGGGTCTAGGCCTCTGGTGGTGTTTTCTCGCGATGTCTCACCCTTTTCGCGCCGTCGGATCTCAGGGGGGAGAAGATGCCGATACCACTACCCGTCCTGGAGATCGTTCCTCGCCACGGCCGCATCCTCTTCGAGGTGCTGGTCAGGACTCGGCCCGACAGAGGCCCTTGGAGTATGGCAGTCTCGGTGCCTGTTTTTGTTCTCCCTGAGGTGCCGCCGGATGCGACCGCGCCAGGCGCCATAGGCCCACCGCTGGTCATCATGTCCACATCCACCGCTTCGGAGCCTTGCTCACAGGGATCTCGAGGAGCAGCGGATATCTGCACGTCCATGCAGGGGCGTGCAGATTTCCATGCCCACCGCTCCCCTGGGATGCGACGGCGCGAAACAAGTGCGACGTCGCAGAAAACGGCAACCAGGGCCCTACGCCCCACCTCTCTGCGCCAAATTTCTCGAGCCGCGTCGATCTGTGAGGGCCCCGGGGCCTGAAGCCTGGCGGCAAGGCCAGGCTCGAAACAGTGGAGACACCAGGACCCCAGTGACCCCGAGTCTTACCAGCCTCGAACGTATCCCCATCCCTAAGATTGACACGCCAGAAGGCAATGACAATCTCAGGGAGTCGCCCTCCAAAAACAGAAGGGAACCCCTGAGATTGGCATCGTGAGGAGGAGGTGCCGCACGCATAGGGATAGGGATCTGTTCCAGGCTGGTAAGAGTCTCCCTGGGGCACGACCCCGCGGCGGTGGATGTGGACCGGCC